CATCCCAGTGTTCTGCAAAACTGAAGCAAACACTTGTTTAGGGTTTCAACACAGGTTATAAGGAAGGAAAGAAACTCTTTTCAAAATCTCCTTGGTATTCGGCTGCAAAGGCCTCCAGACTCAAAGGCAGTTCAGAGGAGGACACGAACCTATCCATCAGTGTCTGGCTGGCTGGCTGGCTGATCCCCCTGAGCACTGTTAACTCATGCCTGGCTTCGGTCTACCTCCACAAGGTACATGGTAAGTGAGGAACAGGAGACCAAATCTGTCCTCTGGCACAACTTTTGACTTCCGACTGTGATATCCAAGTATTTGTTCATTTGGAAAAAAACCCAAATTCTATCCTAAATCCATCATTGCTTGTAGCAAAGCATAGTTCTGAATTTATATAAGGTGAAAAAAATAAGTCAGATATACATATATTTGCAATTTTAAGTTACAGTTTACTAATTCCTGATATCAAATGTTACCTGCGCTTTAGGGAAAAAAAAATACTCTGCAGTATGTCACCTGGAGAAACGGTCCTGGCTTGGTTCCAGAAAGTTCTATAACAATTCTTTTTTCACTCCCATCAACTGAGAAGCTGTTGAATGACTGCTATTATCAAGAACCTGGTTAGTTTAGCCTAAGAGTCCTTTCAAGTTTCTAGATGCAATGCCTCAAAAAGACTAGATCCAAAGCTTTTGTTGTTATTTTCTTTGTAAGTTCCAGGTCAGCCAATATCGAAAAGTCACATACCTAGTTTCTCACTGCCTTGGCTCTATTTCTTCCCAACAAATCAAACTCACCTTGCAACCTGTGACTAAGAATGTGCTGCTGATTAAGGAAGCTGGAAATTTTCGCTGGAGAAAGTTCTTTTTTTCTGTAAAGAGCCAGATAGTAAATATTCTAGGCTTGCAGGTCATAAAGCAGCAACTATGCAACTCTGCCATCGTAGCTGGAAGCGCTCACAGACCAAAGGTAAATGAATTTGGTGGCTCTGTTCCAGCAAAACTTTCTTTGTGGATACTGAAATTTGAATTTCATGGAAGAAATTTTCACATGTTAAAAAATAGTATATATCTTTTTGCAACCATATAAAAGGGTAAAACTAGTCTTACTTCACAGTCTGTACAAAATAGTCAGTGAGCCCAGTTTGGCCTGCAAGCTGAGAGAAGCCCTTCCTTGCTTCCCGCTTGCCCAAAGTGGAAACATAATCCCGGTTTTGAAGCTAACATGCCAGATCAAGTCATTAAAATAGTGCCACCACTATGGTTTTAGAGCTGTTTTAGCTCAAAGGACCCTTTGTGCCTCTCCAAGCTTTAGTAACTAAATAGCTATTTTTAATGAATAAACACTGCCCAGGATCTCTCTTTTAAACACAGGATCCACCACCATAATTTCTTAATCAAATAAGCATAAGGAAAACTTGTGCTAAGTATGGTTCAATCAAATCCATAACCCTACTTTCATGCAACTCAAAAGAACCAGATGTGGCTGGCTTGGAACCCACACACCCAAATGAACACCAGAAGACCTTGTATAAACTATTAATTTGAAGCTGGGTGGTGGGCGGGGGGCGCATTAGAGTTAAGTTACTTCACAAGCAACAAAGTTTATAAGGCGAACTCAGGATCCTGGACTATAAAGCAGATAACAAATCATCAACTCAGCCACCTTGCAGGGGGAACAGTCTCCTATTTCCCTTTATGTCACTGTGATTTCTATACACATGCTTTCTTTTGCTCATTTTAATCTTTATTCATGGACAATACTTTCATAATGCAAAAGTATCAACTCAAAACAATGTTTGGATTGATTATTCTAAGGAAAAGAGCCAATCTCCAGCCCAATATTCAGGAAGCACCTGATTAGTCTTCACTTTGGAGAAACTAGTTGCCAAGTTGTTAAGGGCAAATGGTTAAAACACACACGTTTTAACGTACATATACACTTCGGTATCTCAGGAGCATAACAAAGTAATAAATGAGATATCTGAAACCAGGATTAGTTTTCCTTAGAACCTAACAGATTGGGCTTTCAAAGGTACACAATTAGAAAGTATCCTCTGTTAGGAGATATTCTGAGGCTATGTCTACAGCTGTAATTCTACCTAGAATTCATAAAAATCAAGTTGAACAGTTTTTCAGTTTTTTAAAACACACCCATTTCTTTCATGAGCACTTAAAACAGATCAAGTCTACTGCAGTAAAGGTAATCACAAGTGTAATAAACACCTACAGCCAAGAAACTCCCGTAATTCAATGTCGATGGAAATAAGCCTCTT